ATCCTCCTTTTCAAACTCCACAAAATAAGAATCATAGAGTTTTTCTTCGTCAAGCCCATCATCTAAGCCCATTAATCCCTCTTCTTTATCTCTAAAGCCCACACCATATGAAAGAAACTCAACTAAACACCTCAATGGAAGCCCCTTTAAAGTTTGCAGACTCGGCCCAACTTCCTCAGATCTTAGCCCATAGACTGATATCAAAATCTGGTTCCTTCCAAACTTCGGCCCAAACTCTAACTTCTGCTCGCATCAGATCACATCCACTTTTGGCCTGCCCTGTTGCTCTGCCCTCAGCACACTCCATTGGTCTGGCCAACCCCGGTCGAGCCCAACCAGAGTCCGCCCGAGCTACAGACCTCCGCGGCCCAACTCCTCTTTCAGTCGCAATCCGGCTCGACCCAGCCCTACCAGCGGCGCCACCAACACGACCGGCTTAGGGTTTGTGTTAGCGCCAACGCCGCCACCCTGATTCTTAGATGCCCTCAACGGCGGCGCCCTCCTCGCCTTGTTCTTCGACAACGCGATCGTCAAGTGGCTGGGATGCATCACGTTGTCGGTTGTCTGTTCATCGGAGGAAGAGAAGTGTCCGTCTCCTTTTCTCGTCCTACCCACCTTCAACTCTTTCACCTTCTTCTCCCCGTCTGTCAACGGCGAAATAGATGCAGCCGTTGTCTTCTTCCTCTTCTTCGACGGTCGCGCCATCTCCGACTTCATTCCCGATGGTGAGAAGCGCACCAGGCGAGACAAAGGTCATACCGACTCAGGTCTCGACTCCATCTTTCCTCCTCTCGGCTTCGTGAGAGCCACTGCCGCCAATCGCCGTGTTTTGTGTGCGTCTCGAAGCTCAGACAACTTCTTCTCCCTCAAAGAGGAAGCTATCGCCAGCTCTGTCTTTTGCTCAACAAGCAGTGGCGGATCCAGGGCTGGGCCAACCCAGGCCCCGGCCCAGCCCTCCTCCGGATCCAAAGTTAGTTTAGTGCTTATAAAATTTTCGATTTAGGTATTTGGCCCAGTGCTATTTAAAATTCTGTCTAATTTTATTTGATAATAGGATTTTGTGTAACTAGGAAAATGGTTCAGATGAACATATCCAAATCATTACTCTAAATTTACTAAATTTTCTATAGCCCCAATGATTTTATTTGAAAAAAGACATGAAGACCTAAAAGTGTAAAGTTTCATTAAAAAAAACTCTAAACTAAAGCACACCCTTCCTTTCAAAATTCAAAAATTTCCCCAATCCCCCAAAACAAAACAAGAACGAGGAGACGAGCAGATCCAAAATGGATTTCTCCTCCAGCCCGTCGAGCTGGTTTTCTTTCCATTCTTTTGATTAAGAAAATATTTACAAACTTGCTGAGTCATCATTTAGATTGCCTCAATTGAGTGGGGCACTAGATTCTAACCGTTCTTTCTGGAGTTTTGATGAAGAAAATATTTACAAACTTGCTCAAGAGTTTAGCCTCGAGACTTTGAAGGCTATGAGATGCATTCTTTGGAGAATGTGTGAGGATGAAGTTTCTTCTCTTGCAAAATTATTAGAGAAGCTGGAGGAAACGGGGATGGACACATAATACAAATTGATTTGTCGGTTGATTTGTCTAGTGTTGACCTAGCCGTTTCAACAACTACCATGAAGAGAATATTTTCAGCAATGGAACATGAACATTGATTTGTGTAACAAAATGAGCGATGAATTTCTCGTTGATTACTTAGCTATTTTCTTTGAAAAAGAGTATATTATCAGTATGGATGGAGATTATATTATTGATGAATTTTCTAAATTAAAATACCTTCTTGTACAATTGGCATTGTAATGAAAACTATATTATTATATATTTTTGTTTATGATATTTAATATTCTATTCAAATACGGCCCAGTGCTTTCTTATGTCCTGGATCCGCCGCTGTCAACAAGCACACCTCCGCCAGCTGAGGTGCAGCCAAGTCGGGCACTCCCTTACGCGATTCATCCACCCACACTCTCTTTTTTGTCGACTTCCAACTCATCTCTTGTCTCTCCTCCAAATCTGGTGACACGCAAGATAGCTCACCGCCTTCGTCTTTCTTTTTCGTTCCCGGGGAAAAGCGTATCTCTAGGTGGGCGGAAGGCGACCCAGATTCGGCGACCCCAGTCTTTGATTTCTCGTCAGTCGGCGCTGTCATTGAAGCCACCATGTTGGTTTCCTGTTCGTCTTCTCTTTGAAGGAAGCAACCCACGAGCATTGCGTCGGCCGCTCGATTCGCGACCTCGGCGAGTCAAGCCAGCGGCGCGTCGCCATCTCGACTCCGCGTCGTCGATCGCTAGCGGTGCAACACTCCTTATCCGGCGAACAGGTTGATGTCGCCAGATCCGGTGCCCGTACTCCCAGCTCCGCCTTCCCTTCCGTCCTCTTTCCAAAAGAAAGAGTCATAGAACGTCGCTCCAATTGCCCAATTAGAGACTCCAACGGGTAGTGCCAGCGGCGCGACATCATCCTTCCAGCTGCTTGTCGTCGTTTGGTCTCGATCTATGCTGCTGAATCTCGACCGTGGATGCAGATGACGAGGGAGATCCCTTGCTTCGCTCTTCCCCTCCCCGCTCCTCATCTGCCATCCGTTTCTTCTTCCAATACCTCCAGTTCACCAAGTCATTCGGCGTTGACCTCCGCATCGCCATTCCAGCCTTGTCGATGACCTGGACTGTTTGCAGCAACGTAACCATGGAGGCTGGCTGTTGCTCTTTGCCCAATGCCTCCATCTTTGGTGTGAGGTCGATGGAGAAGATCTCTGTCGCGGCCTCCACAGACTGTTGCTGTTTGGCGGGACTCTCGGTCGTATGATCCTCCTCTTGGGCGCAACTCTTCGCCGACCCCTGAGACGACGCCCGTCCTCCAATTCTTGTGGCTCGCAGCTCCTCGACCGATCTTTCGAGTCTTTTAATGTTTCGAAGGATTCGTGCCTTCAACTACACCACCTGGTCCCCCTTTGAGAGCTGTGATGAACTCATATCGAACGGGACTCTGATACCAAATGATAGAAACATAGTTTCTATCGGGTTTGTGGGTTGGATCGACATATCGACATTTGGAAATTTAGGGATTGTAGAAGGGAATTGGGGAATTAGGGATTAGAAGATGGAAGTAGGGATTGAGATTGAGAATTCAGGTAAGAAGAAGAATAGAAAGATAGAATCGGCTGAAGCTTTGAAAGGCTACAGAACGAGAATTTAGGAGATAGAGGATTAGGGTGTTGGAGAGATACGTTCTGAATAATTATTCTTGCTTGATTGATAATGAAACCCAGATTACATTAGTGGGTTAAGTTGTTAGAAGAATTAGCTGAAATCAAGGAACCACAAATCATGTAAATGTGGGTAGTTAGTAGTGGCCGGTCTTCTATGTATTTAACGTTAATTATCGTCAATAATAATAAAAGGTGTTAGTTGCCTTTCCAAAGCTTTCATAAACCCCAAATAATTAAAGTATACAACCAACAACACAGCATATACAAAACATGTAATACAAGTATACATGAATTCAAGTTAATAACCGAATTCAATTATTAATTTGGCATTCGTTCATACAACCATACCAAGTGATTGGGACAACCGATTACTTTCGATGGTGAGTTTGATTGCCATTATGAAAAAGGTTCGAACGAAGGAGATAGAGTGGACACTTATAACCACTAAGTGAGTAGTTAAAACTCTGAAAAAGAAAAATGACACGAAAGAGATAGAGTGGAAACTAACCACTAAGTGATTGCCAGTCCATCGACAACACATGCCCAATGACCAATTGAAAATCACCCCACAACAGCAACAAAATTACTACTGCGACTGCGTACATGTTCTTGCACGCAACCGATTTGTAAAGTGGTGACTGTGACACTGACATACACTGCTCCTCAACCACGTACCTCACTCCTCATTCCTCAACAATGTGCCTATAAACCTCTCATAGAACAGTAAACCGCAACCACAGCCTAATTAAGAGAAGACTTAACGTATCTGCGTACATAGAATCCAAAATGAATATTGTCAACAATATTCCTACGGCAGCAACATATGGCTTGTTCGTAGTGCTGTTGGTGGGAGGCTGCTGGGGGAATATTGCCGAGGACGAAACCTATCGATTCAATGGCCATGACATTACTGCTTACTGGGGGTCTGATCACTTCAACATATCCAACCAAGGAACTCAAGTTGAGCTCTTCATGGATCGTTATTCTGGTCCACCTGATCATCTCCCTACCTTAAACTCTTTTCTTGTCTACTCGTCAAGTTAATTAGTTCCCAATTCGATTGCTAAGATGGAATTTTTATCTTCTGCGCATGCAGGTGCTGGATTCACAACCAAACGCATCTATGGGTCCGGATTCTTCCAAATGCGGATCAAGGCTCCCCGGAGAAACTCCGCCGGAGTTGTCACTGCATTCTACGTAAGTACTGCGTGGCTTAGCCAGATTTTAAGTGGATTGGAGTTCTTAATAATCAATAGTATTAAAGTTTATATATCTAATGGACTTTGAGCTGATTGAGGACGTCATTACATATAGCTAGTACCGATGAGAGTACGGAGTCCTAAATTTGTAGGATTATACGAAAGTCTATATATCTAACGTATTTTTTTTGTCCTATTTCTTTGCCAAATGTGGTCCTCGAACCCCTATCCTCAACCCTTCCCCTCCACCACTATGTGTGTGCTTGTCTGCCTTAAAGTAAAGTGAGACGATTTGTAAGCACTGTTCTTCTTGATTTGTGCGTTTTTCAAATATAGTAAAACCGTATCGGTGATATACCGAAAAAATCTAGCGTATGATATTTTATACTGAAATTATAATTTAGACCGTAGTTCAATCATGTAATACCATTAAAACCTCCTACCAATTTAGATTTCACTAGACCTATAAAAAAAAAGGAAATTTTTTCTTTCGTACTTGCAATTTATTAACACTCAGTATTTTCCCTTTGGTCCATCTTATCCTTCACTTCATCTTCGCCTTTGACCCAATTGATGCAGCTAACTTCGGACGGGGAGGCCCACGATGAACTGGACTTTGAGATATTGGGGAACGAAGAGTCGAGGCCCATCAGGCTAAACACCAACATATTCATAGACGGCTATGGAAACAGGGAGAAAACGGTTCATCTCAGCTGGTTTGACCCCACCGCTGACTTTCACAATTTTTTTTTTTTTTTTCCAAGTAATGTCAAGAGAGAACCTATACAATCTACCAAGACCCTGCCCAACCCATTACATTAGTGAAGCCAACCAACAAAGTCAAAGGCGCACAACTCTAAAAGGGAGAGTAACAGGGCTTTCTGCGCCACTCTATGGGCAGCCCTGTTAGCAGTCCGAGGAACTACCCATTACACTCTCCTCTGGAACCACCGCCAGATCATGTAAGCCGGCCGGCCGCCAAGTTCGTCGAATCCTCATTACAGAAAATAATATCCTTCTTTTTAAGATTTTTTTTTCCCCGTGTATTTGTGCAGATTTTTCGTGGATGAGGTTCCTGTAAGGGTGATGAGGAAGGTCGACGGGAAATCGTACCCTGCGACGAGGCCAATGTGGTTACAGGCCAGCCTGTGGAATGGAGAGCCCTGGGCCATGGACACTGACCAGAAGAAAATCAACTGGGCCTACGGGCCGTTCCGGGCCTACTTCAAGGATTTCAGCGTCGACGGTTGTCCCGTGGACGACGAAGGTTCCGATTTGGCGTCGTGTTCTTCGCCGGAGTATTGGTGGAACGCCGAGAGATATTGGACACTCGACGAGGCACAGCAGATGGCGTACGAGCATGTCCTCGAGCATTACCAAACTGCTGACTACTGCGTCGACAGGCCCCACCCTCCCGAGTGCGGCCTGTAACTAGAGTATATATGGATCACATTATTATATCGAAAAGTGAACATGGGCTAACAACATATCGCGTGATACTGTTTCCTCGGAAAAACCAAATGCCACCGCCGGTGCCGAATTGGTTTCCGGCGATGTTGATTCGATGTTTCGCGATGGAAACTCTTGCGGTGCCGTTGATCGAATGCACCGCTGATAGCTGAAATCGAGACGACCGTCAAATATCCGCCACCGAATGTCGGCGTCGTTGATTTGATCGATACACCTTTGACTTCTAATCAAACAACTGTTATTCGGTTCAACACCTCTCCAAACTACGTTCGAACGAGGGTGTTCGAATGAACAGAAAATCGAACCAGGAGTGTTCTAAGTTACGTTACCTCTACTCCTATGGAGGTTCCTCTGGAGAGCTCCGCGACTACGACTACAAGCTACGATCTACGACTCTGCAAAGGAGTTCTTTGACAGAGCGGTTCTACGAAACTAGAGAGAAAAAAAGGATAATTCTGCAATGGTGCAGTTGTGATTTGATTTTCCCAAATTATTGTTTCCTCGGAAAAACCAAATGCCACCGCCGGTGCCGAATTGGTTTCCGGCGATGTTGATTCGATGTTTCGCGATGGAAACTCTTGTGGTGCCGTTGATCGAATGCACCGCTGATAGCTGAAATCGAGACGACCGTCAAATATCCGCCACCGAATGTCGGCGTCGTTGATTTGATCGGTGCAACTCTGACTTCTGAAAACGATGACGATCGTCAAATATCCACCGCCGTGCGATGTTGATTTGATCGATCGAACAGAAAACAAAGAAGCTCGTCAAATATCCGCCGCCGGTGTCGGCGTCGTTGATTTGATCGATACACCCTTGACTTCTAATCAAACAACCGTTATTCGGTTCGCACCTCTCCAAACTACGTTCGAACGAGGGTGTTTGAGTTTTGAGGAATCTACGCTACCGCTACTCCTATGGAGATTCCTGTGGAGAGCTCCGCGACTACGACTAAGACTACAACTATGGAGATCCTTCCTGGAAGGAGAGCTCCGCGAAGGAGTTACAGAGAAAAGGTAAAGTTTGAACAGAGTTGATCTGTGTTGATTTTTGGTTCCCTTTTTTTTCTCTCCTTGCTCCGCTGCTCTTATTCGAAAAATATAGCTTCGTAGTCTTCACGCTAGGTAGAACCGCTTCCTCAACTGCTCCGTTGTGAACTCCCACGTGTCTCAACCGTCTTGATCTCCTCCTCGCTCGGGTTGGTGTGAATCTCACGCGATGTCGTTCTCTTCCCCAAACAACTCTGTTTGCTTTTTTACTCCACGACATTGTTTTATATTAAACATTGTCGTTTGCTAATACAGCGGTACCGTTGGGCTTACTCGCGGTACCGTTTTTAATTAATCGGCACCGCTTATCAAGGCCTCTCGCGGCATCGTTTTTAAATCCGCGGTACCGTTTTTATTTTCCGCGATGCCGCTTGTCTCCATGCGGTACTGCTTCTCCCCTTCCCACAAGGAATAAAATATAATAATAATAACTCCTTTTCCAACACCAATACTACGCGCGCGGCCCACATCCTATTTTCTAGTAAACAGTGTCGTTTCCAGTGCCGCGATACCGGTGAGCTTCCTTGCGGTACCGTTTTCTGATCCGCGATGTCGTTGGGTTTATTCGCGGTGCCGTTTTAAGCCAAACGACACTGTTTCCCAGTCTCGCGATGCCGTCGAGCTTTGAGGTTCACGACACCGTTTTATCTCTTTGCGGTATTGCTCGACTCCAAATGACATCGTTTTGGCCATGCGATATCGAATTAAATGCCGAGACTCATTATTACGGCATTGAATTTAGGCCAAAAATATTTTAGGTGTAAACAATGCCCCCACAACTTAGTTTATAAGAATCAATTCTTATGAACTAAGTTGTTGACAGAACTTAATTCACCTAAAATTGTAATTAAATTAATTACAAATGGATTATTCCAGTAAGACACTTACTTGGCCAACTTCCCAGCAGACTTGTACTCATCCCGCAACACTGTAGCGTCCACAACGACGTGTTTTCTCCTTGCTTTTGGACCAATGACGTACCGAAGCATTATTCAACCCCAAACAATATTGTTCGGAAACGAAAGAATAACACAACACTTTTGAAGCAACTTTGCAACGCTGTTTGGCCTAAATCGATCGCTCTTGCTATTATTATTTTTAATTATTAAGAAAGACACACAACCGGCCAACATTGCAACTTATGCGTTTTCCTCTCTTGCCCGCAACATTGCAGCAAAAATAAATAAATAATAACAAGGACCAATTTTGGTCCATGCCAAACAACGTTGTTTTGCATTTTTTTTTTAATCCACATAATTTTGGCTTTGAGTAATCTTGCCAATGTTGCAGCCACAAAAAAAAAAAAAAAAAATAATAAACAAGGATAAACTCCACCACGCAACCTTGCTTGATTAAAGTAGCCGTGTTAATTTTTTTTCTCTTAAACCAACCAAATCTCAATTGGTTTCAGTTTTATCAACACTGAAAAGATAGCCAACACAGTCCTGTTCGGACTCCTCCTTTTCCTTTACACAGGTTTGTTTTTTTTTTTTTTTTTTGTACTCACATGCATTGGCGGCCCTTTTCTTTTCATCCTCTCGCAGCGCTGTTTATGTAATAACCCCATTCATGCCTCTGACATGGGGAGTTGGAAATTAAATTGGAGGGACATGAGGAGCTGGCAATGGTGTCGGTGCACCCTCCCTATCACAAATCCTTCTCTTCAGTTCAATAAATTAACGATCCTTCTTCCCCCGATCGCCCGGAAATTGCACCATCAAAGCCATTCCTCCCAATCTCAATACTTCCCATCAGTACTGCTAACTCTCAAGACCAGAAGTTCATTCCATCATCATCTACTCACTCCCTCCTTTGGTCCATTCACCTTTCATCATCGCCATAATCGTCATCACCGAAGGAAAAGGAAGCAAGTCGTAGCTACTGACTTGATACCTTCCATTCTCTCTGGACCAGTAGGTAAGCAAAACGAATCCCCTCGTCATTCAAGTTTCAAGGCTACATAACTAACAAACAAAAGGTCTTCTACGGCGTAGCTTCGGCGGCGAAAGAGCGGGGTGATCAATCGACGATCCAAACAAGGAACTGAGGTCCTAAGGCTTCCTACCTAGGCCTAGACTCGTATCGAAGGTAAGGAAGCTCAATCCCTCTCGCTAAAGGCACCATTTATGCGAGTTATGCGTCTTTGTAGAAATCTGGGAAATTAGCGACGGAATTACAGGCTTTTAGCAACAAAACAGCCGCCGTGGCTATAGTCTGGCCAACCAGTGTCAGTGACATCCCTTTTAGGGACGAGATTCATAGTTTTTAGTGACTGTTTTGGCGGCGGTAGCTAAATGAGCTGTAGAGTAATTTACATTTTAATTCAATTGGATTTAATTGTAAATGATTTACTAGTTATCTTACTAATGGACGTATTAGGATGTTAAAGTATTTTAGTAACTAATAAAAGGAGTTAGTTTGATTAATTATATGTTTGATCCCATAATATGATTAACGTTGTTGTTAAATGATTCTCTTAGGAAATTAATAGGTTAAGATGATTTAAGTTATCAGTTAGCAAAATATAAGCTTTGATAGGTTAGATATTATGACGAGTTAAATTAGAACGATTTAAGATGATAATGAATTGTATAAGGGAGTTATGATAATATGAGTAATGTTGCTAGCACGTGATGAATGAATTAATAGGATTAGTTAATGGGTAAATAATGTGTTATCTAGTTTGATAAATTGATTAGTATAATCTGGAGTTAACCTGCGTAGGTTTACTGTAGCACAATTAGTTTTCAATGATTAAGATTGATTAAGACCTTAATTATTATATGTAAAGAATTATGATTCTAATATGTTAGATTAATTGGTACATTAGTATACCATACTTTGCACATCTTGCAAAGTATTCCCTAGTTGAGAAAGCCGTCGCTAAGAACCCAAAACTCAACCAATCTAACTTTGAATTTCACCATAGGGTCAAGAGGAATCAACCAAGTCAAGGGCCCCAACCTTCACGTTATAACTTCTTGAATTAATAAGGTGCGTGGTTTGAGGGGCTAGTTAGTATTTCGCTTTAATTTATCTAATTATGTTATTTAATTAAGTTACGCTCTATATGTATGTCCACGGTAAGTGTATTTATGTTAGTAAGCATGTCATTGCATTCCATCATGAAGTTATGTTTTGAGCAAGATTATGGACTTACGTTCCATGTTACCAAGTTATCAAGTAAGAACATGTTTTTAACTACTCACTTGACTAGTGCACGCGGCTACCCTACTTCCCGTCAGGTGGAAGTCAAGTTCAGGATTATGTTACTTCCCGCCAGGTGGAAGTTAACATTCATGTTATAATTGTGTTACTTCCCGTCAGGTGGAAGTTACACCCATGTTATATCTTCCCATCAGGTGGAAGTTTACGTTTGGTGGCCGTTAGTGTGCTAGTTGAGTAGAGTTCGGGGCCCCCTTTCACAACAAGTAATAAGAATACTAAATTTAAGCATGAAGCATTGCATGAGTATATTTATTTATTCCAGTGTTGCTATTAAGAGTCTTCAACATTAAAGCGAAACTAGGATTAGGACTGACCCCAACGCCCGCACTCAGGAGCTGCAGGAAACCAGGAGCACCCAGATCAATCGCAGGAACATAGCTGCTGCCCAAGATGTCATCACAAGGGTTAGTGGCCCGAAGAGCTTCCAGCGGAACTTGTTTAAGTTTATGCATTGTTGGTGGACTTGAGACTTAATGAGGATTATGTTTGAATACTATTTTAAGATGGATTTTTCCTTGTATTTTGGAATGATGTTTATGGGACTTTTATGCATTTATTATTTGACTAATAACAAGGGTATTTTGGTAAAATTAGTCACCGGCCGGTCTAGGGTGTTACATTTTGGTATCAGAGCCGGTTTCCCTCTGTCTCACTATTAAGTGAGATACTGGGAAGTCGGTCTGCATGTTTTCAATCGAGTTTTAAAGGTTTTAACAATTTGCAATAAGATTTTCAAGAAAAATCAAATCGATTTTTTTTTAAAGCATTAAGTCTCGTCCACTAATAAGTTGGAACGCTTCGGAAGTTCTAATACAAGATCTTATTTCACTGCAGAAGCCAAAGTGTTGGTAACCCCCAAGCCAGGCCACCTGCTCAACGTCCCGTTCCTAATTATGCTGCACTGAGGAAGATGGGTGTGGTTGACTTCGAAGGATCCTCCAATCCTGAAGTGGTGGACGCATGGCTGGTGAAGCTCACTCGCACCCTTGATGAGCTGCGTATCGATAACCATGAGGATCGGATCGCCATGGCAGTGCACGTACTGCAGGGTACAGCAAGGGACTGGTGGCACACCCAACCGGAAAGTGAAGAGGTGCCTCTAACTATTACCTGGGACCAGTTTTTGAAACTGTTTCGTGATGAGTACATTCCAGACACTGTTCGAGAGGGGAAGATGGAAGAATTTATGTCCCTACGACAGCAGTGGGGACAATCTGTTGCGGAGTATACAGAGTGCTTCAAGAAACTGCTAAGATATGCTGATCCCGCATACAGGACGGCGGAGGGACAACGTGACCGATATGTCATGGGGTTGAGAGCCGATCTGAAGAGGAGCATGGGAGAAGCTGAGAGGGCAACAAAAGCATCCGCGTATCGTGCTGCACTCCGTATAGAAAAGGACGAGAAGATTGCCCAACAGGAGAGGACTGCCAGGTTTGAGACTAAGAAGAGGAAGGCGCCCACTAACACGGGGGGCCAAACCCACTCTACCAACCATTTCAAGAGGGGTTCTGGTTCCATCACTCAACATCAGACACATAGCCAAGCGGGCTCCAGCAGGAGTGCACCAACACATCAAACATATCCAATTTGTCAGAAGTGTGAAAAGCGCCATCTAGGCGAGTATAGACGTCCTCTGGGTCTATGCTTCCATTGTGGAGAGCCGGGCCACATTAAACCACAGTGCCCACAACTCATGAGCCAGACCAGGATGAACTATGAGCCCTCGATCATTGGAGGTAGGCCACATTCAGGCGGGAGGCTCGGTGGCAGGACTAGCAATTTCAGCAACAACAACAACAACTATAATAGCCGTCGTGACGAGAGTCAGATGTCCAGGGCAGTAGGTCAACCCAGAATCTTTGCCATGAGGAGAGAAGAGGCCAATGCAGCCCCAGAGGTGGTGACTGGTACGGTTTATATACATGATCGTCCTGCCTTTGCTTTGATAGATCCTGGTTCTACGCATTCGTTCATATCTACTGCTTTTGCTAGAGTCTTAGGCATGGCACCTATGAACCTCAGCCAGAATTTGGGGGTGCGTACACCTGTAGGTGATACATTGATAGTTAATTCGATAGTCAGAGGGTGCATAATAGTGGTCGCTGGGTATGAACTCGAGGGGAATCTTATGCTGCTTCCTTTCAACGAATTTGACGCCATCTTGGGAATGGATTGGCTATCCAAGCATAGGGCGTTGGTGGATTGTTTCAACAAGGAGGTTCGGTTTGACATAGAAGGAAGAGGAACGGCTATGTTCAAGGGGATGCGCAGGGCCGTTCCAGGGAGTTTGATATCCGCAACCACAGCATTCGCACTAATACAAGATGGTTGTGAAGCTTATCTTGCCCATGTTACTACGACATCAGAAGTGAAGCTTGAAGAGGTGGACATCGTGAAAGAATTCCCGGACGTGTTTCCAGAAGACCTCCCCGGGTTACCCCCAAGAAGAGAGATTGAGTTTGACATTGAAGTTATTCCGGGTACTGCACCAATTTCGATACCACCGTACCGGATGGCACCAGTGGAACTCAAGGAACTGAAGGAACAATTGCAAGAGCTACTAGACAAAGGTTTCATCCGACCCAGTATCTCTCCGTGGGGAGCCCCAGTATTATTCGTGAAGAAGAAGGATGGAAGTATGCGGATGTGTATTGATTATAGGAGGCTGAATAAGGCAACGGTGAAGAACCGATATCCACTACCAAGGATAGACGACTTATTTGATCAACTTCAGGGTGCCTCTGTGTTCTCTAAGATTGATCTAAGGTCTGGGTATCACCAGTTGCGAGTTGGTGAATCCTCTATTCCAAAGACCGCTTTTCGTACTCGATATGGTCACTATGAATTCTTGGTAATGCCTTTTGGGTTGACCAATGCACCAGCAGCATTTATGGCGCTAATGAACAACATATTCCACGAGTATTTGGATAAGTTTGTCATCGTATTCATTGATGACATTCTCATATACTCGAAGAACTACGAGGAGCACAAAGAACACTTGAGGATCACATTAGAGATACTGAGGGAAAAGAAACTGTATGCAAAGTTCTCTAAATGTGAATTTTGGCTAAAAGAAGTGCTATTTTTGGGCCATGTGGTTTCTGGAAGAGGAGTTGAAGTAGACCCAAAGAAAATTGAGGCAGTGGTCAATTGGGCACCTCCGAAAAGTGTTCCAGAATTGAGAAGTTTTCTTGGCATGGCTGGGTACTATAGAAGGTTTGTAGAGGGTTTCTCTCGCATTGCAAGACCTTTGACCCAACTATTGCGCAAGGGAGTGACTTTTGTCTGGAGTGAAGAATGCCATGAAGCATTTGAGGAGCTTAAGAAGAAGCTCACTACTGCACCAGTACTCACACTACCATCAAACGACGGAGAGTATGCCATTTATAGTGACGCATCATACAAGGGGTTGGGATGTGTTCTTATGCAGAATCAAAAGGTGGTTGCTTATGCCTCAAGGCAATTACGACCACACGAGGTGAACTACCCAACCCATGATCTAGAGTTAGCTGCAGTGGTGTTTGCTCTAAAACTATGGAGGCACTATCTTTATGGTGAGACTTTCAAGATCTTCACAGATCACAAGAGTTTGAAACATCTCACGGATCATAAGGAGTTGAATATGAGACAAAGAAGATGGGTGGAATTGCTGGGTGATTACGATTGTACTATCGAGTACCACCCTGGTAAAGCCAACGTGGTGGCAGATGCACTGAGCAGGAAGGAGCACGGCCCAATACAGGAGCTAGTGGCACTCAGAGCTATGAATGTGGAACTACAACTGGAGGAAGCTACTAGCATGATGGCTAATTTGAAGATTAGACCACTATTGCATGATCGAATTAAGGAGAAGCAAAAGGATGATCCAGTTTTGGTCAAGTTTATTCAAGAGGTACAAGATGGGAAAGATACTAAGTTTGAAATAACAAATGAGATGTTACTCTTTCAGGGCAGAGCTTGTGTACCTAACGTAGAGAATTTAAGGCAAGAAATCCTGGATGAAGCTCATTGTGCACCTTATTCCATGCACCCAGGATCGACCAAGATGTACCGGACTTTGCAAGAACATTTCTGGTGGCCCAATATGAATAGGGAGGCAGCTGAGTTTGTGCACAAGTGTTTAGTCTGTCAAATGGTGAAAGCTGAGCACCAAGCTCCAGCAGGGAAGCTAAAGCCACTTGAGATACCAGAGTGGAAGTGGGAACACATCACCATGGATTTCGTCTATGGACTACCGAGGACGGAGTGGGGTAACGATGGAGTTTGGGTGATTGTAGATCGTCTCACTAAATCAGCACACTTCATCCCCATCAAGTTCAAGCCAGGGGTGGATGCATTGGCTGACTTGTATATACAAGAGGTGGTACGACTACATGGAGTTCCTTTAACTATTGTATCAGATCGGGATCCTAGTTTCACTGGCCAATTCTGGAAGAGCCTTCACAAGGCTTTGGGCACCAAGCTCCATTTCTCAACTGCCTACCATCCTCAGACTGACGGACAAACAGAGAGAACGATACAAACGTTGGAGGATTTATTGAGAGCTTGTACATTGCAGATGAGGGGATCGTGGGACAAGTATCTCCCTTTGATGGACTTTGCTTATAATAATCAATACCACAGCTCCCTAAAGGCGGCACCATATGAGGCCTTGTATGGGAGAAAGTGCAGATCTCCCCTATATTGGGATGAGGAAGGATTAAGGCAAATTGAGGGCCCACAACTAGTACAAGACACAGTCGACAAAATTAAGCAAATACGAGAAAACATTAAAGCTGCTCAGGATCGTCAAAAGAGCTATGCAGACAAGCCAGGAGAGGAGAGGACTCATGAAGTGGGAGATAAGGTATTCTTGAAGGTTTCTCCATGGAAAGGGGTTATGAGATTTGGAAAGAAGGGCAAGTTGAGTCCAAGATACATTGGACCATATGAAGTATTGGAGCGAGTAGGCCCTCTGGCGTATAGACTCGCATTACCTCCAAATCTATCCAAGATCCACAATGTATTCCATGTCAACATGCTCAAAGGGTACCGATCCGACCCAACCCACATCGTGGAGTTAGAAGATATTCAACTGGATAGTGACATGACCTATAATGAGATACCAGTCGGGATCATCGACCGCCAAGATAAGGAGCTACGAAGGAAGAAGGTTCCAATGGTGAAGGTGGTGTGGAGGAACCAAGGCACAGAAGCAGCCACTTGGGAGATCGAGGAGGACATGAGGAAGAACTATCCTGAGTTGTTTCTTGACATACCTTTGTAATCGGTAATTTGATTATGATTTGTTGGCGGTAATAAGATATGATCGGTAATAAAAGTGAAGAATCATGAACTTCTTATGCACTCAGTTTCTCAATTTCGGGGACGAAATTTTTATAACGGGGGAGGAAATGTAATAACCCCATTCATGCCTCTGACATGGGGAGTTGGAAATTAAATTGGAGGGACATGAGGAGCTGGCAATGGTGTCGGTGCACCCTCCCTATCACAAATCCTTCTCTTCAGTTCAATAAATTAACGATCCTTCTTCCCCCGATCGCCCGGAAATTGCACCATCAAAGCCATTCCTCCCAATCTCAATACTTCCCATCAGTACTGCTAACTCTCAAGACCAGAAGTTCATTCCATCATCATCTACTCACTCCCTCCTTTGGTCCATTCACCTTTCATCATCGCCATAATCGTCATCACCGAAGGAAAAGGAAGCAAGTCGTAGCTACTGACTTGATACCTTCCATTCTCTCTGGACCAGTAGGTAAGCAAAACGAATCCCCTCGTCATTCAAGTTTCAAGGCTACATAACTAACAAACAAAAGGTCTTCTACGGCGTAGCTTCGGCGGCGAAAGAGCGGGGTGATCAATCGACGATCCAAACAAGGAACTGAGGTCCTAAGGCTTCCTACCTAGGCCTAGACTCGTATCGAAGGTAAGGAAGCTCAATCCCTCTCGCTAAAGGCACCATTTATGCGAGTTATGCGTCTTTGTAGAAATCTGGGAAATTAGCGACGGAATTACAGGCTTTTAGCAACAAAACAGCCGCCGTGGCTATAGTCTGGCCAACCAGTGTCAGTGACATCCCTTTTAGGGACGAGATTCATAGTTTTTAGTGACTGTTTTGGCGGCGGTAGCTAAATGAGCTGTAGAGTAATTTACATTTTAATTCAATTGGATTTAATTGTAAATGATTTACTAGTTATCTTACTAATGGACGTATTAGGATGTTAAAGTATTTTAGTAACTAATAAAAGGAGTTAGTTTGATTAATTATATGTTTGATCCCATAATATGATTAACGTTGTTGTTAAATGATTCTCTTAGGAAATTAATAGGTTAAGATGATTTAAGTTATCAGTTAGCAAAATATAAGCTTTGATAGGTTAGATATTATGACGAGTTAAATTAGAACGATTTAAGATGATAATGAATTGTATAAGGGAGTTATGATAATATGAGTAATGTTGCTAGCACGTGATGAATGAATTAATAGGATTAGTTAATGGGTAAATAATGTGTTATCTAGTTTGATAAATTGATTAGTATAATCTGGAGTTAACCTGCGTAGGTTTACTGTAGCACAATTAGTTTTCAATGATTAAGATTGATTAAGACCTTAATTATTATATGTAAAGAATTATGATTCTAATATGTTAGATTAATTGGTACATTAGTATACCATACTTTGCACATCTTGCAAAGTATTCCCTAGTTGAGAAAGCCGTCGCTAAGAACCCAAAACTCAACCAATCTAACTTTGAATTTCACCATAGGGTCAAGAGGAATCAACCAAGTCAAGGGCCCCAACCTTCACGTTATAACTTCTTGAATTAATAAGGTGCGTGGTTTGAGGGGCTAGTTAGTATTTCGCTTTAATTTATCTAATTATGTTATTTAATTAAGTTACGCTCTATATGTATGTCCACGGTAAGTGTATTTATCTTAGTAAGCATGTCATTGCATTCCATCATGAAGTTATGTTTTGAGCAAGATTATGGACTTACATTCCATGTTACCAAGTTATCAAGTAAGAACATGTTTTTAACTACTCACTTGACTAGTGCACGCGGCTACCCTACTTCCCGTCAGGTGGAAGTCAAGTTCAGGATTATGTTACTTCCCGCCAGGTGGAAGTTAACATTCATGTTATAATTGTGTTACTTCCCGTCAGGTGGAAGTTACACCCATGTTATATCTTCCCATCAGGTGGAAGTTTACGTTTGGTGGCCGTTAGTGTGCTAGTTGAGTAGAGTTCGGGGCCCCCTTTCACAACAAGTAATAAGAATACTAAATTTAAGCATGAAGCATTGCATGAGTATATTTATTTATTCCAGTGTTGCTATTAAGAGTCTTCAACATTAAAGTGAAACTAGGATTAGGACTGACCCCAACGCCCGCACTCAGGAGCTGCAGGAAACCAGGAGCACCCAGATCAATCGCAGGAACATAGCTGCTGCCCAAGATGTCCTCACAAGGGTTAGTGGCCCGAAGAGCTTCCAGCGGAACTTGTTTAAGTTTATGCATTGTTGGTGGACTTGAGACTTAATGAGGATTATGTTTGAATACTATTTTAAGATGGATTTTTCCTTGTATTTTGGAATGATGTTTATGGGACTTTTATGCATTTATTATTCGACTAATAACAAGGGTATTTTGGTAAAATTAGTCACCGGCCGGTCTAGGGTGTTACAGTTTACTTCACGAATTTTTTTTTCTTTTCCTCCAACAGCTCTGATTTTGGCGATAATTATTTATTATTTTTTATCAAGGCTATTGCCTAACAGTAATGGACGTCCAGCAAAGCCGTTTCTCTCCAGACAACTCCGATTTTTCTTTCACCAATATTGTTTTGGCGATTTTTTTTTATTTTTTATTCCGCCAGTGCTGTTGGGAAACAGCGGCAGTGCTGCAAATCTTTTTTTCCCTCTTTTCCGCCGGAGCTGTTTCAGCGGCAGAGCTACATTTTTTTTTACAGCATTGTGTATAGCCCTATCTTCCAACGATGTTGAGAAAAGAGAACAACACCGCTTGTTATTTTGAACTATTGCCAACGATATTGTTGCTTCTTCTTAGCAATTCCGCTTGATCATATTATATAACAGTTATTTTGGCCTAATTTAGCCACGTTATTTATTAACAGTTAAATAAGAAACAAACTAGACTTTGGCATAAACCATCATGCCAAAAGCCCACACCCACTGCCAACTCCATCGATCAAACCAAACAAGCCATCCGTAAAGTCCATGATTCGTCACAGCTGGCTCCACACGAGTTGGTTTTGATGTTTTGGAATCAATGTTGGCTTGCAAATCCCCAGTTCGTCTAGCTCGAACATCTTTGTTCGAAACTCCACGATCCTGATTTGGCCTAATCTTAGCTTCGCGGAATGGAAAACCATAAGCATTCTTGGCTCTAGACATGACATTCTCGTTTTTTGGCTTCTTTGTCTTGCCAATTCGACCATGCGACATCGCTTGCCTAGACTGGTCTAGTTTTGTCAGGTTCGCACTCTCACCATGTTGTTGGTAGTATGAGCGCCGAGACTTTTCATCAACAGGTACGTTGGTATTTTGCTTATCACGAACATGACTTTCGCACCTATCACACAACAACGTTGCCCCTTTTAAAATTCCACGTGAGTTTGGAGTTTGTTTGGCATTGGACTTGCCCCCCAGACCACCACTCATGGATTTGTTCCCAGCCAGCACTGGTGTGGCAACCCCATGTCGGGTTTGATTGAACTTGCCCCCCTGTCCACTCAATAAAAACTTCGGGGTTGATTCACGTGAACGATCCTGTTGAGTCATGCCAACTTTGTTGGCATTAGATTTTTCTACGTGGTTAACATCCCCACACCGAGGAGTATTTGAGGAAACCATTGTTAGATTTTTCCTCGAGCAGGGTGGGTGTGGCAAACTTCTTTGCCACCCACGATGTTGTTTCTCCTTTAATCTACCACGAGATGGGATGGCATGCCCCTCTAGCGGCTCAGATTGAAGAATGTGGTAACATTTGTCATCTTTCCAGACATCACACTTGTTTTTCTTAATTTTCTGGAACTTATTATGAACACGTTTAAATTTTGTTCTTAGTTGTAGCTTTCACAAGACCGCTCTAACTTTCCTGTCCTTCAAAACAATAGTGTTCACAGGAGAAACAACATGAGATTTGTTGGCCCCTAATGCCACTGTTTTAGCCACAAGTTTAAGTGAATCCTTATTGGCAATGCCGGAAACATGTTCATCTATCATCTCAAAAAATTTATCCATATGTCTTCCAAGAGAATCACACGGCTTATTTAAAGAGATAAAATAGAGATTTACCTGCTGGTAATACTCCTCCACGGCTCGACGAAGAGACAAGAGTGCAACATGCCCGTCAGTGCTCGACATGGATTGAGGCCACTCCTTCATCCGACCTGTATGTCTATCTGCCTCGTCCGCCTGACCAACTTCAGTATTGGTCCTTTGCTCGTCCAGAAATTGTTGTGGAAGATCGCAATCTTGTTTTTCTCGCCGCAGAGCCATTTCAAACACACGTGTCCCACCAGGTGTGCCAAAATGTTTCCTCGGAAAAACCAAATGCCACCGCCGGTGCCGAATTGGTTTCCGGCGCTGTTGATTCGATGTTTCGCGATGGAAACTCTTGCGGTGCCGTTGATCGAATGCACCGCTGATAGCTGAAATCGAGACAACCGTCAAATATCCGCCACCGAATGTCGGCGTCGTTGATTTGATCGATACACCTTTGACTTCTAATCAAACAACTGTTATTCGGTTCAACACCTCTCCAAACTACGTTCGAACGAGGGTGTTCGAATGAACAGAAAATCGAACCAGGAGTGTTCTAAGTTACGTTACCTCTACTCCTATGGAGGTTCCTCTGGAGAGCTCCGCGACTACGACTACAAGCTACGATCTACGACTCTGCAAAGGAGTTCTTTGACAGAGCGGTTCTACGAAACTAGAGAGAAAAAAAGGATAATTCTGCAATGGTGCAGTTGTGATTTGATTTTCCCAAATTATTGTTTCCTCGGAAAAACCAAATGCCACCGCCGGTGCCGAATTGGTTTCCGGCGATGTTGATTCGATGTTTCGCGATGGAAACTCTTGCGGTGCCGTTGATCGAATGCACCGCTGATAGCTGAAATCGAGACGACCGTCAAATATCCGCCACCGAATGTCGGCGTCGTTGATTTGATCGGTGCAACTCTGACTTCTGAAAACGATGACGATCGTCAAATATCCACCGCCGTGCGATGTTGATTTGATCGATCGAACAGAAAACAAAGAAGCTCGTCAAATATCCGCCGCCGGTGTCGGCGTCGTTGATTTGATCGATACACCCTTGACTTCTAATCAAACAACCGTTATTCGGTTCGCACCTCTCCAAACTACGTTCGAACGAGGGTGTTTGAGTTTTGAGGAATCTACGCTACCGCTACTCCTATGGAGATTCCTGTGGAGAGCTCCGCGACTACGACTAAGACTACAACTATGGAGATCCTTCCTGGAAGGAGAGCTCCGCGAAGGAGTTACAGAGAAAAGGTAAAGTTTGAACAGAGTTGATCTGTGTTGATTTTTGGTTCCCTTTTTTTTCTCTCCTTGCTCCGCTGCTCTTATTCGAAAAATATAGCTTCGTAGTCTTCACGCTAGGTAGAACCGCTTCCTCAACTGCTCCGTTGTGAACTCCCACGTGTCTCAACCGTCTTGATCTCCTCCTCGCTCGGGTTGGTGTGAATCTCACGCGATGTCGTTCTCTTCCCCAAACAACTCTGTTTGCTTTTTTACTCCACGACATTGTTTTATATTAAACATTGTCGTTTGCTAATACAGCGGTACCGTTGGGCTTACTCGCGGTACCGTTTTTAATTAATCGGCACCGCTTATCAAGGCCTCTCGCGGCATCGTTTTTAAATCCGCGGTACCGTTTTTATTTTCCGCGATGCCGCTTGTCTCCATGCGGTACCGCTTCTCCCCTTCCCACAAGGAATAAAATATAATAATAATAACTCCTTTTCCAACACCAATACTACGCGCGCGGCCCACATCCTATTTTCTAGTAAACAGTGTCGTTTCCAGTGCCGCGATACCGGTGAGCTTCCTTGCGGTACCGTTTTCTGATCCGCGATGTCGTTGGGTTTATTCGCGGTGCCGTTTTAAGCCAAACGACACTGTTTCCCAGTCTCGCGATGCCGTCGAGCTTTGAGGTTCACGACACCGTTTTATCTCTTTGCGGTATTGCTCGACTCCAAATGACATCGTTTTGGCCATGCGATATCGAATTAAATGCCGAGACTCATTATTACGGCATTGAATTTAGGCCAAAAATATTTTAGGTGTAAACAGATACTGAGTAGTTGGATCATATTCTATTATCATAAAAATGAGTGCATGTGCGGTAATACCAATTATGAAAAAAACCGTCAATCCATATGTGATGCGTGAACAATAACAGTTATGTACCATATTCAGTAGTTAGACGACTCTTACTTTTTAATAACCTTGAACTTCGAAATGTACGTAGGACTTTGGACCGCATAAATTTGAATAAAGGTGAACTATACACGAACTAGATGCGATATACATACCGTTAATCTATTATGATTTTCATAATATATGGTTTGAGCGGGGTTTTGACATGTGGAAATTATGCTCACCGAGTAAAACCAGAAGGCAACATTTACCATATAGTTATTCCTCAAGGGTGTTGTTTTCCGTTTACTAAGGGAGTGTTTAGTCATGGGACTAAGTCTTAGCACTGAGGTTAAATCATTTAATTCCTATAAGATCCAATGTTGAACAAAATCTAGAGAAGGGGGGGTTTTTTTTTTTTTGGGTAAGAAGAGAAGGGTTTTCAATTAGTACAAAAGCAATTTCGGTATTAGAAGAAATTCATTAGAGTTCTATTTTCGTTTTCCCTGAATTTGCCACTTTCCCTTCTCTCTTGTAACCATGTTTCTCAGCGAGAAAAATTATCGATGATATATAATAACGTTATCAACGTTTTGAAAGAAATTAATGATATACAATTTTGTCATTAACATTATTGAAAGGAATCATCAATTGTGTACTATGACATTATTAGGATTTTAAAAAGAATTAATAATAACATGCAAGAACGTCAGTAATTTTTTTGAAAGAATTATTAATAACATTATTGCTTTGTTTTAATGGGTGTCGGTGCCAATTATGAAAAGAGAAAGAGTGAACATTTTTAATTTTATTAAATAATAGATAATAACATCTTAATTGCCCTTTTGATGGTTGGAATCAAGTTCCATTTCGCGTGATGGAAATTGAATTGAACCCATATTTTAATTTCCTTCTTTTCTCTTGTGTTTCCGTATTATAAGTTACCTCCCTAGCTAGCTAGGTAGCTACGTAGTTCCTGCCTTGATGTTCTCGGCAACAAAATTTTGATACGTAATCACATTTATTTATTAACACAACTTCATAACAATTCTTGTATGATAGCAACGTAACACTACATGCGGAATTGAACAACCCCGCAGAAACGAAATGAAAGCATCTAGAGAAGCCAGTTAATGATCAAAGACGCACGGAAGAGACCAAACAACGAGGCCATGCAGCCATTCACCCACAAAATTAGTTCGCACATTATTTACAATGAGTGATTGTTATATAAA